CCCTCAGTTCTTCTAGCTGTACTTAATGTAGTTGAGATAGATCAATATGTGCGTTTATATTGGTTCCTTAGGCTCTGTTGCTTTCAATAATTTACATTAATAAGTTGTCTATAATCAGGTTGCTTTGACCCAGCTTGTCTGACCTGTGGCTTGCTTGCCATATGGCATGGAGTCTTTTTTTTTTGGCGAAACATATGGCATGGAGTTGACTGTTTGCCTCAAAATATTATTTTGAAATGAAATGACATGGCTACAGAATTTGGGATGCAAATGGCAAAAAAAAAAAAAAAAAGATACAGAGAACCTTTTCAGTGATTTAAGCAAGATGGTAACAGCTTATCATTCCCCCTGTCTTCTTTTCCTTGTGCCCATCTTTGGCGGTGAGCATTGATCTAAGGAGTGATAAGTGTAAGGCTCTTACCAGGATATGACTATCTGTGCATGAAGAGAAAGAAAGAGAGAGAGAGAGAGAGAGAGAGAGAGAGAGAGAGAGAGAGCAATTTAAGTGTCTGTATTTTAATCTCTGTGGTCATTTTCCTATTTTTGAATCGTTGGCTGTAGCTGGATAACAGTAGTTTTAATGGTCAAACTTCTTGTTGCAGTATCCTTTTCCGGAACATGAAGCTGTTACTGTTTTCCATCCCTCTTCGTTGGATTTGGATTTGAATCCTTTAGCTGTTGGGCCCTAGGCTCTTCCTTGTGTAAATCCTGGTTTGCCAAACATGCTCAAACTATTATTTTCAGATATGTGAACGTGCACATGCATGCATGTACTACATTGATGCAGAAGCTCACTGACACAGGAGCAAAATTTTGCAGAAAAGAAAAAACCATTGACACTACTGTAGTGGGCCCTATGTAGAAAACTATTCATGTTATTGCGGCAGAAGTTTGGTTTTAAGCTTTTTATGCCTTAGTTATTTTCTTTTAAGGTTTTTTTTTCTTTTCTTTTCTGGACAGCTGATATTCGAAGGGCTAGAATTAATCTTACCAGGGTTTTTATGCTATAAAAAGTTCTTTAGTCAGCATAACTGAGCTCTCCAGTTTTATTGGCAAGAGTATTCAAGGAGTTAATCTTTCTATTCATTATCTTTAGAAAGCCGACAACCAGCCCTTTGCTTTCTATTGCTCTCTCTCAAGTCTACCCATTTCTGGTTTGGTTCTTTTCCTATTCCACTCAAATATCATTGTACCAGAATCCAGTTTCATCCGTTTCTGGCTGAGTATTGGTATTCTGAATTCTGAAATTTAGACAAAGTTTGATACCTAGACAAATATCAATGTTTCACAACCATTTTGAATCCATGAAACCTGGCCGTGCTTACACTTCTGAGTGTTTCTGCTTGTTAGATAGATCTTAAAAGTTAACTGGTTTGGCTTGGTTTCTAAAACAAAAGGTTTATACCTTCCATTATTGACCGCTTGAGGCCAAGTTGACATACTTGGCACTCCTTTATGTTCATAGGCTTTAGGCATTGTTATTTCCTTGATGGAAATATTTGGCTCTGAGCATTATGAACTTTTTCCTTCCAAGCAACCATGTTAATAACATTTTGCATGTTATAGAGGTGCATAATGGTTAAAACTCTTCATGGCACAACTTCTATTATCCCCAGTTGAGCTAGTGGAATAGCGTTTCCCACAACATGAAAACTTTGTGGCTAGCTTGGTAGAGGGTTGAGATTAGATAAGGAAATGTTAGCATTGGGAAACTGTGTAGGTGCTAGTTAGTTGTTGTTAACAGTCACTGTTGTAACTTGCACTTTACATTAGTGCAATTGATAAATATTTGCCATAGCTGGCCTATATTAATGATCGCCAAAAGTAACTACAGCTATGGTGTTATAAATGGTCTGAGAGTTGAAACATGCCCAACACCATATGGTTTTGTGTGGTTATTATGTTTTGATTTTATTGTGGGCTGACCAAATAATGGTTCTATTATTATATGATTCTCTACTTCCCTTGAAAAGAATTTCAAGTACTAAATGAGGCAGTTTATCATAATTGATGATTCAAAACCCTCATTGGCAGTGTACTGGGAAGATCCTTGGTAAATATTTAGGCCAACTGACTACAAAAGTAACTCCAGCTAACACTCTTGGATCATTGGTGTCTCTTGTTACGGTTTTCTAGATTTTAAGGTGTCATTATGAGGGCTAATTACTGTGGGCTAAACTGGAGATGGTGACGAATATTCCAACTATGCTGGTGCCGAGGAAAAAAATTGTGCCTGTTTTAGCTGTTGAACCTGGCGGATGATCCTATCCTGGTCCGACAGCTATTAAATGTATATTACATGTTGTTTGGGTCTGTTAGAAGCCTTTTCTGACTTGGCTTCTTGTCTCCTTATTGTGGTTAGTGATTGGTCAATTAAAGCATTTCATTCTACCTAGATTTGGTTTTCTGAGTGGTAGCTAAATCTTGTAGGAGACACTATGAGTCAAGGATGAGGAATTGCAGAATTTGGCTCGAGATCTTCATGCTCATGATTCAAAAATAAGAGAAATAGCTGATAAACTTTCTGAGACTGCTGAAGCTGCTGAATATGCAGCATCTGCTCCTCATACAATGGATGAACAAAGGAGAATTGCTTGTGCAGAAATTGAGAGCTTAACAAAAGATTCAGAAAAACAAAAGGAAGCATTCATGTTAAAGGTATAGCTAAAACTTAAATTGTGTAACTCTAATTTTATTGCTCGCATGTCGATGTGATGGAGTTATGAATTTAAAAGTTTAACATCCAAGAATCATATGTTTTTTGCTTCATCATTGTTCAAATCTAATTCACCTTGAGTCAGTCATGGTGCTTTTCACTTTTGAGAAGTTGCTTTTAATTGTCTTGATCATTGTTATTTAGGGATTCATGATTCCTTTTTTTAAATCTGGCTTATAATCATAGTTGTTTATTTGAAGTTTTTCCTTAGTGTTTATAGCTAAGGGAGTCTGAAGAAAAGCTTGGGCTCCTTAGTAAAGAAAGAGATCAGTTGATTAAGCAGAGAGACTCTGCTATGCAGGAGGCACATATGTGGCGTACTGAGCTTGCAAAAGCTCGAGAGCATGTTGTGATATTAGAAGCTGAAGTTGTGAGAGCAGAGGAGAAGGTCAGAGTTGCAGAAACTGATGCTGAAGCAAGAATAAAAGAAGAAGCGCAGAAGAAGGCAGCTGCTGTAAAGGAAAAGCAAGACCTTCTCACATATGTGAATGTGTTACAGGCACATCTCCAAAGGTTTGACTTATATTTTTAAGCATTATATCGATGGTCGTGCTTTTACCCATTTTGGAAACTTTGTAACTGTGGCTTGTATATACATTCACTTGATGAACAACACAAGCTGTTTGCAAAAAAATTTGAAATAATTGACAAGAAGAGTGAATTTGGTAATAGACCAAGCTTATCAAGAAATACTGAAGGAAACCTCGGTATCTTGCTTGAGAATGCAGATCCCTCTATTTGTTTCACATAGTCAAATAGTGTGTTTCGTGGCAATCTTTACCTAGATCAAGGGGGGGGGGGGGTGTTTAGATAGAAATCTAGGTTTGAGGGTGCATAAAAATGTGTGTTCTTTCATCCAACTTCCTTCTTCTCTACGGTTCAATATTGACATGCAAAATGAAGACAAAATAATATGTAGGTAGAGAACAAAAGGTGTTGATTAAATTCTTTTATATGGTAACACATACTGCTCTTTGTTTTTCTCCCCCTTTCGGTTGATATATCCATTTTCTCCATCTACTTTAAGCTTCTGCAAATTATTTAAAATATGCAGGTTAATGCAACAATTTAGTCAGTTAAATTTCATTTTGAGTTCAGTTATTAACATGGTTTGGTACTGCTGTTTTTATACTTGAACAATACTTAGCTTGGTTCAGTATTGTTGAGATGCTTGTCATAGAACTGAAGCTAGAAGCATAAACATACTTACTTGTGGGGTGACAAAAGTTGATGTTGCCTTGTATTTTCATTTGCAGACAACAGAGTGGCACAAAGCAAATTTTCGAGGAGAAGACCGAGTCCTCAAATACCAGTAAAAGTCCACCTGATAAAAAGGATGTTGACTTGTCAGAGAACATGGCAAAGCTTGTCTTAGCGTTTCTAGAGCAGTCCCAGTACCTTGGGAGAGTGTAGTCCACATGGTAGTGGATCAAGTTAACATCCAACCAGTTGGTGATGGTGAATGGAGTGATATTCAGGCAACAGAGGCAAGAAAAGCTGGTGTAAGAGAGATAGCCCCTGAGACAGAGGGAAGCAGCCATGATATTCCTGTTGTCAGCCCAGCAATCAATAACCACCACCAGCAAGGAGCGAACTCTTTCCACCAGCCCTGAGAAACTATTCCATATATATACACTCAATTGTCTAGAATTCAAGGCCACTTACAGGAGAAATGTAAAGATTTTTTCATATATTTTTCATTTTCTTCCTTCATCTCACTTCCAGAATTTAAGTTTTAAGCAAGCTGTTGGTGATGTTGGGGCATGTCAATGTCATCCCTTTCCCATGGAGGATGCTAACTATACTTGAATACAAGCGAGCCTTTGAATAAAGTATATGGAGGCTTGTATTAATTGTAAATTTGACAGAAGTCATTAAAGAATGGTAATATTTTGTAGCTGAAAGTTTTTGCGGTGGGGGTTTCTCTTGCAAATGGTGCACTGAATTTGAATCCCGGCAGGAACTTCTGCTGTTACCAATCAGTTTGGACTTACTGATTAATCTTCTTGTTTCTCTCGCAGCTGCATCATGTAACCATTGTTTGTTTTCATCAGAGTTCACTGTTTCGAACACAAGCTGTACTTTTATTGGCTTGTCACCAAGTATTTGGCTTAATGATAGACAGACGTATATATAGTTGAATTTATATTTGCATCTATATATTTGATGCAGTGTATTAGAATCTATAATAAGCTTTTACAAAAAATGAAGTTACTCTTAAGCTTAATGATGGTACAGCTGCTGTTGTGCAGAAGACTTCAGAAAAACAGTTGGTTCGTTGCAGTATAAAAGAAAACACCCCAATCATCATGTTATTGGATTATAGTATGGCAACATAGGATGATGATAAGTTCTCAAAACACAGATAAACCAAGATCTGAAAGCAAACAGCTAAAACAAAGTAGACCTTATTCAAAAGGCACATCTGAAATTGCCTCATTTCATATTTTTAAACAGGAGCAGAATAGAGCTGGAGAACCTTTTGCCAGGAAGGTCTGCTGCTAATATCATCCCACCAAGCACTCACATGCTTCCTGCTCTTTATCATGTATTCCTTTCCCATTGGGCCCACCAAGTACTGAGTAAATGGCAGGTGGCTAAGGTCAGCAAGGCTGAAGCAATCACCAGCTAAGTACTTGCTCTTTGACAGCCTCTCCTCATAAATATCCAGCACTTTGGCAAGCTTTTCCTCACTCTCTTCGATCAAATTTTCATCACGAGGAAACCCCAACTTGGGAGAAAACAGGATTTGAAGAGTTAGGGCGAAAATTGGAGGGTTGTAGCTTTGTGCCTCAACCTCTAGCCAATTTTCCACTAGACCCCTTTCCTCTATTGTCTTTCCCAGAAGATCAGTTCCCTGTGACTTGTATTTTTCTGCATAGTACCTAATGATGGCACGAGATTCTGCGGATCCCACATTATAAGACTCATCATTTATAAAATAAAAGTTAAAAAAAAAAAAAAAAAACTTGTAGCTAGAAAATGAATTAGGCTTCATTTGGAAGGCTTGAAGAAGGGATTCTCACCGTCCATCCAAATTTTCATCCGTCATCCGAATAAAGTATTAGATTGTCCATCTTATTAAATAGTAAGCACTTTGCCAAAGAGTAAGCACTCAAAAATTCAACTCTTCCTGGATACATAATGATGCTTAGTTGATCATATTCTTGCAATTATATATATACAGTATAGTATAGTATAATTGTCCAGTCACTATGATTAATTTTAAGTTGTAGGGAAGGGAACCCACTTTTTCCTTCCTTTTTCTATCTTCATGTAAAAGATATAATTATAGTTTACGCATAGTAGCAATTGCCTTTTAGGTTTTTTTTTTTTTTTTTTTTTTAATTTCAGTGTATTCTCATGCCCAACCCAGAAAAGTCATCCAAAAACTCTTGTTTTATTGTCATCAGAATTTCTTTTCTTTTATATATATATTTTCTCTTTTAAGTACAATCCTGAAGTCAGTAGAAAGAAACTAGAAGACTGGAAAATGAATATGAAACACTACAACAAGATGAATTGTTAGAGGCAGATTATTTCCGACATAACACTCACTTCAGTGATTTCAACTCTGATTAATATTTCATTTGATATCAAGAAAAAATTTGGTCTGCTACCCATTCTTTGTCCCTTTTTTTTTTTTCTTTTTTTAGTTTTAACTGGTAATTTGCCTTCTCAATTATATATTGATTAGATCTCTATAAAAAATTCATAATTAACTACTCGAATTTTATTTTCCTTAAATATTTTGTCCATTAATCGGAATAGTGAAGTGACAAATACTAATCAACAAAAATATATAATATATTATGATATTATTGGTCTTTTTTTTTTTATCACATCAGTTTACAGTTATAAAAATTAGTGAGTAGGGCAAAATGCTTGATAAAAAAATTTAGGTACATGAATTATTTTTATAGGTACAGAATCGGTTAAATCAAGCCTTAACCCTTGTTTTATCTTATATTTTCTAAAAGAACCAAAAAAATTGGGGAGAAAGCATCATCTGAATTTACAGGTAAGAGAAAGGAGAGTGATTACCAAATAAAGTATAGTCTCCATCTTGAACAACAGGAACTGTTCCGAAAGGCTGCACAGAGCAGAAAAGATGAGAAGATTGTAAACATAATCTTCACTGAGAAAATGGAACATGATTATATCATTTTCAAAAACAAAATGAAAAGAAAAGAAAAGAAAAGAAGGAAAAGGTTGAAGGTGACCTGCAACTTGAGAAATTCAGGTTGTTTGTGCTCTCCTTTGAGCAAATCTACAGGGACAGTCTCAAACTCAATCTCTTTTTCAATAAGACACACAATCACACGCTTTGGGGAAGCAAAGTCCGGCCCATAAACCTTCACCACCATTGTCGTTCACTGCAAATATTTGCCAATTCTCCGATCCCCTTACTGACAATTTTCACCGCATATCACTGCCTTTATGGCCTCACCAACTTCTAGATCTGGCTGCAATGATAAGTTTTTTTAGGGTCCCCTTGTAGGTAGGTGGGACCCGGCGGCTTCAACTTTTTTTTCATGTTTAGACTTCATAATTGGGTAAACGATGATTTTTTAATTAAATTAAAATGTTTAATATTATATTTAAATTTTAAAAATTTTTAATATAATATTTAAATTATAAATATATTAATTAATATGATATTTATAAAATTATTTATTTATTATATATAATTATTTAAATAAATATATAATTATATTAAAAAATGAGTACCATATTACAAAATTATTTAAATATGTCATTAATTATAGTAGAGATTTAGTATCATATTAATTATAATTTTATAATTTCGATATCACATACAAATTTCAGAGTACATTTTTGAGTTCGCTTGTTTCTAGTGACACTTTGGATTCTCATATTAAATGCAGAATTAATAATGAATTAATTTTTAATGTATTATAAAAAATTTTGTTATAATATTTTGTAGAGATACACTAAATAATATAAACTCCAACATAAAAATAAACTAGTAATTTTTTCCTTGGAATTATTAGGATTGATGTTTTAGGAATTAAAGCCAAATATATTATTATATTATGACTCCGTTTGTCTTATTGAGAATATCTTTTAAAGAACAATTTTTGAAAAATATATTTATTTTTTAAAATTTAATATTTTTCGTTGTTTGAATAATTCTATGAAAAATATTTTTTGGTGTTTTGATTTTTTTAAAAAAATTAGTATTTTCATCAAAGTTATGTTTTTCACAAAATAATTTAAATAATATTTTCAGATTTATCCAAGATAATAATAATAAAATATAAAAACAATTAATAATTAAAAATACAACACAATAAAATCATTATAATAATATCATACAAACTTAAAATATAATAAAATAGTTTATATATTGTTTTCACACAAAAGATAATTTGACCAAAGTTACATATTATGTCCATAATAATATACATTGTAATATTTTATCTAAATAAAATAATTTTTAAGTGTACAAAATAGTTAATATTGTTTTTAGATATAATAAACCTACCATAACTATAATTTTCTTACAAAAGAAAGTGGTTTCCATTCAAAGAATATTAACATAACTATTAAAATAATCAAAATTATTTGTTATTAAAATATTGAAATTATTTAATATTAAAATTATTATACATTTAAATAATAATAATATTTAATATTAAACACTTAAACAAAACTATTTTATTATTTATATTAATATTTTAAAATATTTAAATTAGCATTACTTTTCTTGAAATATTATTTCTTTTAATATAATAATATTTTTAATATTATTAGTTATTATTTAAATCTAAACAATATTTATTATTAAAATAGTTACATTTTATATTGAAAATATTTATTATTAAATTATAATAAATGTATTGTTTATTTATATTTTTATTAAAATAGTAATATAAATACATTTGTCAATAAAATATAAAATATTATATTTTAAAATAAAAATATTAAAAATTGCCATATTATTAAAATAATATACTTATATTTAAATAATATTAATTATTAAAATAATAAAAAATTTACTATATAAATATTTATTATTTATTATTAGAATATTAAGAATATTTATGTTTAATAATATGGAACATGTAAATATTTAAAATTAAAATATTAAAAAACTTTCAGTATTAATATTTTAATATTTTGTTATTTTTAATTAAAATCAAATAAAATTACTTTAGTTAGATCACATTAAGTCACAATTTAAATAATCATATTCAAAGTTCAGCTTTAGTAAAATTATAGAAATATTTAAAATCAAAATATTACAAGATTTTTAATATTAATATTTTAATATTTTAATTAAAATTAAATAAAAAAATTTTATTAAAAAATAATATTTTTGATAGGATCAAATTAAGCCCAACCTTAAAATATCATATTTAAGGTTTGGCTTGAATTATATGCTCATGAGCTTGATAAATGATCTTACTTATAAATAATTTAAAAAATATATTTTTTTTTCAAAAAAATAACCTTATTTTTTAATTGACCATTAAATCATTTTTCATTAACCAATCAATTTTCTATCAAATAAACATAAAAATATATATAAATTGTTTTCTTGTAAAACAAATAGAGTTATATGATTAAATAGTGAATTTTATTATACATTTAAATTTTTTAATTTTATATTAAAGTTAACAAAATTAAAACATTTCAATAATATAAGGATTTTTCTTCAATTTCATTACATTTTTATCTAAAAACCAATAAAATTGAAAAATAAACTGAAAAAATTTCAATGAAATTGAAATTATGGACAGAATTGAAATTTGACTTAATATAATAATAAATTTATCCTTGATCCCAATATTTTTTGGAATTTTTTAAAAATATTTTCCTGTTTAAATAGTAATCTCAATTATTGTTGCGGTTGTTGAAAAAGTAACGTGCTCCAAGGTTAAAAGATAAACACAAGAGGCTTACTACAAGGAACGAATATCCTAAAGGTGTTATTGCGCAGCGGAGAATCAGCCAGAGGTTACGTAGGTTTGTTGGCAATGAATTCAATGCTAATTGTCTTGGCATATGATAGCGAAAACCTTCCCCGCATTGCATCGCAAACACAACTAATTCTATCTAGCCTTTGTTTTTTATTACACTTTCTTTATTACTCTTTAACTTTATTCTCTTACAAGTTGCAGCCACCGCTTTCAAGGATTTGGTCGCTGTCTTGGGTGAGTACCACTAGATTTTGACATCAACAATAATTGTAGGGTATTGAACATATTTTAAGTTTTGAATGAAAATAACAGCTCATTAGTGATCATACTATTTTTCTTATTTATGCAAGATGTAATAATCAGTTAAACTATGGGGCATAATGAATCTAAACTTTAAACCGACCGTACTAAATAAGTAAAAAAAAATTATAAATCTACATTTAAAGAAATTTAAATAAAAATAATTTAAATTTAAAATCAATTCGATTCAAATCCCTAATAATTCAAGCCTAATATTAAAACTAAAATTAATGAATTTTTTTATTAAGAACTTAATTATCAATGTTATTTTAATACAAATTCAAAGTTGATTTAACTCAAAACAACATGATTTCTAAAACTATCAAATTAAAAATGACGCAAACTCAAAAACTATCTTGACCCAACGTGATAGCCTATCCTTTTACCACTTTTAGTTAGAAGCCTTTAATTTAAGACCCATCTTTTTGCCACTTCTAATTAGAAGCCTTTAATTCTCCAATTGAGTTCCTAATTGTCTCGTTTTATACATTTATATACTTCTATGGTTATTAATCAAGGAATTGAAATCATTAATACCATTCAATTGCGCACGTCAGAACAAGTTTAAAAGGACGCTGATCAACGAACCAACCAATTAAAGAGTCACTTTGCGTTGACGTGGAGAAAAATGCGAAGTCTCCAAAAACCTCTTGCATACTATCGGACCATTTAATATTTTTGATATACCAAAATACATATCAAATTTAACCGTATACAGCAAAAATGAAAAAAGAAGAAAAAAAAAAACTTTTCATGTAAATTATGACACTATTCTTTTACCATCATGCTTACAATCAAATTTTCTTTATAAAAGTATTTGCCTTTCAAAAATCAATTCAATGTCTATTATATATTTTTAATTGATTATTATAATATATATAACATATTTTATATTATCATATGTCATATTCATGTCCTAATTTTTTAAAAATTATCATATTGCAATGTTTGTGTCTTATCATACTCTATTGCGCTTCATAATCTAATTCATACCCAAAAATCAGAAATGAACGAAGATTAGGCTACGTTCAATGACAATTAAATCAAGCCACCAGATTAGTCCCAATGACTCGTAAGCTTCCTTTCGACTATGAAGTTTGGGGTCTAAATCTAGTCCAAGCTCCCACAAACCTCAATGGCCATCTGCCAACTTGAACCTCAATTTAACCCAACTCGATTGCTGCATCTACCAGTAGCTCGTTCTCCCTAATCCTCTTATTTGCACGTGAAAAGTAACTTACTGTATACTTATACAATCCTTTAATCCTGTGAATGTTATTGAGAAAGGGCAAGACTTAGCATAATAGCGACACCGGACATGCAAGAGACCACTACCATATTAGCAACACATGACAATTAACACTTTTCCACATCAAATTGGTACCACCCAATTTATACAACACCCCCTGGCCTCCAGTAATCTAGTAAGTACCATAAAATGGTAGCAGTATGACTAGAAAATTTTGAGTTCGGTTTTAAGGACAATGTAATGCAACTTTGGTAGAAAATGATGTATAAAACCATGGTGCCAAGTATTACACAATGATATTAAAAACATTTAAACAACTTTTTATAATTTGAATCACTGATATACATTTCAACAAGCAGATCCTCATCCTGTTGACATGACTATTAAAACAGCATGATTCCCAAGAAAAGTTTCCTTAAATGGCTCAAGGCAAATCTGCCATTGTATTTCATGATTTAGACCCTTCTTTCTGGTTTTAAAGGACTCAATTAGATCTAGGCTCGTTAAATGCGAAATTGAGATTCAATGGAAAATTGATATTGCTGATCGTCAGAATGAAACAACCGACTTGGAATGTGGGGAAGGCCTCAGCTGAGACAGAGCTGTATCGCTTTCATCAGTCTCATCAAGAGCCATCGGTGTCTGGTTAACATGCTTCCTGTAATTAAAACAAGCAATCATAATTGGTGTTGAAACAGCTGGTATAGTGAATTAGCATTATTAATTAATAAAATCATTTCAACTCCGATCTGAATAATGTACCAATATTGGAAGGGACTTGTTAGAGTCTTCCCAACATTAAAATCACAATGAAATAATCCTCTTCCATCTGTTTTGACTTCATCTACAATGTATTATCCAGCAAAAAGGTCACCTTCAACAAAAATATTAAATATAAAGCCATTCCTACACTTTGTTTACATTGGCCAACAATGGGGTCAAAGAAGTAGACATCCCACCCAAAGGTGTCCCAAAAACAGTTCATATCAAAAGTAGGTAAATGCTTGTGCAAGCGTTTTAATTATATTATAGGGTTTATAATTTGTTCCTTCTAGAACTAGCTACTAGTGTTTTTATAATTTTATAGGAACAGTGCTAAAAGCATAGTGATGTAACAAAGTATTAAATGCCATTCTTACAGGTACTTCCACCATTGCACACTCTCAGTTTTCAAACAGACATTGTTGCCAGAAAAATGACTTTAGCTTCACACTGGAGACCCCAGAAGCTAGACTGGCCATTTTGAATGTTAATTGTACATTTTTGTTGACAACATACTCTGTCAAAGCAAAGTTAATGTAATATTTTAACTAGTAAAAGAATAGGAACTTTAGATTAAAGTCAATCAATATGATCCTCCTTTATATTTTTTATATAATATAACTATATATTAAAAATCAACTCAGCAACAAAATATTTAGGAAAATAGAAAACAAGAAAAAGAGAAACAGGAATTGTTGCTCACTTACAAAAAAAAAAAAAACATAGCTAGTAGTATGCAACAACATCTCAAGTCCAATTTAGGCATACAGAAAGTAGATATTGGTGGAGTTACAGAGTGTATTACTAGCCAGACCAGGAAATTTGTTAAGAAGAGGATTTGAAGTAAACTATTATCCATCAAATTACAACAATATAAAATAGCGTCATAGACAATGAATTTGGCAAGCAAAAAGCAAGCATACCTCTGAGAGATAAGACTCTCGTCAGACAGTGCCTTTTCCAGCCTCTCCTCAAATGGGGTTGCATGCCAACTGACTTTCTGATCCTGCAAACAGAACAAGCATCCATCATTTTACAGATCTATTCTGCACGAACAAAAGCAGCCAGAAAAAAGATTTACCTCCTTGTATTTATTAGTTGAATTTGGGATTCCATTCCCATCCCACCACTTGGGCGAGATATGGGAAGACTCATCCTCATTCCAGTGAGCAGCAACCATACCAATGATGGGCCTGTCCCCAAGGGTTCTACCAAAATGAGGTTTTTGGGTAGAAGTAGCCTGAAAATTTTTATAACGATCATCGATGTTATACTGTTTCGGCTTCAGCCAAGAAGACAAGCTTCCTTCCTCCTCTGACTCTTTCACAAAAGAAGTTTGTTTCACTCCCACTTCCAGCTCGGGCGTGGCATTTTCTGGTTGTTCAGGACATTCTTTCAGATCACTGAACATCTGTTTGGAGCTAAATGGTTCTTCCTTCATTGCATTCAACATAGAGGCATTTCCGACTGGATTCAAAACCGAATGAACGTATTGAGACCTGATCCTAGTCTTCCCATTTCCCAAGGTTTCTAGATTTGAGGGAAAAACAGTTCCAGGGGTTTGCATTTCATCAGAAAGCTTTAATGGGGTTGGATATGGCGAGGGCTTGGATGCACTTTGATAACCTAGTAATTCAAGTTTCTGTGGATTTTGACCACCATTTTCAGACTTGGAAGAAGATGCATCAGATTCACATTCAAAGCGCACGGACTTGTTCCTTCCATAAGCGGAAGTTGAAACAATATCAATCTTGACTGTTTTATCAACACTCATCAACTCACTACCTACGGTAGAACCCATAGAGAGCCTCCCAGTGTTTGCAGCATTCGATACACAGCTATAAAAGAAATGGAACCAATCAATTATCCGGCAGCTTCACAATTTCGTGAAGATGAATCAGAAGGGTACAGAACAAAAAGCAGACGACATTAAAAGAATTCATCCATAAAACCTGATAGGTGTATTTTCTGGAGAATCAGACCTCCTCTCCAATGCCTCGAAAAGCTTGATAGGAGTAGGGGGCTGATCAGATTGCTTATCCTGAAACTTATCAATGGATGTGTTTGGAAGCCAAGAACGAAATTTGGAAGTCTCTGAATCTCCAGCACAAGGCGGGGATTGTTTAAACTTCTGAGACGCTTTGCGAATTTCAGCTGGAGTCTCAGGTATTGTGCCACAAGCTTTAAGGAATTTTGCCTAAGAGGAGGTAAAAATTGGGATTCGCATTGAACATACAAAGCAACCAATCTAAATCGAATAGCTCGATGAACATACCTCATCCTTGAGACCTTTATCGATTTTTGGAGACTCCAAATCATTGGACGGATAATCTCCTTTCTCTTTTAGGACCAAATAAAGGGAAAATTGAAGTTTGAGGAAAGAAAATGTTGAAATTAGCTAATTCCACAAATATACCAGAGAATTTAATATAGATAGATTTACCTTCGTCAAGAAAGAGAGATGATAATCGATTTCGAGAAACTGCACGCTCCTGCTTACCCAAACAACAAATACAAAACCAACTTTTCATTATCCTAAAATTTGTTGAAGTTTTTCTTCTCTTTAGAAATATAAAAGACCAGGAAAGAAAGCCTTTCTTGAATTTGATTTTCTCAGGAACCAAACAGAAGAAAGATAAAACTGGAAAGAAAATGAAAAAAAAAATGAAAACGTACGGTGGATTTGGAAGAGGAGACGATGTGAGGGCGGGAGCGATCGTCTCTGTCGCGAAAACATCCGAAGAAACATCCCATGGCTCTGCACACCGTACGATCAAGAAATCTCACCAATGACCTTGTGATTATCCCCAACCCTAACTCTCGATTCAGCAAATCACATACCATTTATTTTATCTGATTTTTTGTTTTGGGATTTTTTCTTAATCACTGATTTATCAGAGAAAGTGGAGAGTTGCTGCGTCGTTTTTTGAATTTTGAAATACAACAAAACGAGGGAAAGATTATTAGAAAAAAAATATAACGCTTCAGCTTTTATCTTCTCAACTGTCTATAATTTATTTGCTACTCGCTTTTTCAGACTGACACGTAGACAATGTTAAATTGATAGTAGTGAATTACGAACTTAGTCCCATGCGCAGTGCTAGAAGTGTGTTAGGGGTAGCGAGTAGATTCTAGGTTGTAAATTTGAACAGGTGAATCTTCCAAAGAAGGAATGTCTTTTCCTTACCAATTTTTTACTCTCACTAATAACGCTTATTAGGCTCATAATTTCTCTCGAACTCTTTTATCATTATTTCAATATTATTTTGTAGCTTCTTCAAAAACAATTTTTTGTAATAATACTTTTTTTTTCTTATAACACGATACTTGGTATTGTTTTGGATGGAATTAATATCTTTCTCAGATAATAAAGAGAACTATATTATCACCTGTTAATATTTTTTATTTAGTCTATGCTTTAATCGTCAATAATTTATAAAATTATAAGGAGAACTATATTATTATCCGTTATTTTTTTTATTTAGTCTAAACTTTCTTTTGATTTTATATGTTTTTATTTTGAGAACAAAAGTCTCTCTTTAATTTATATTTTTCACTTAAAAACTCGTAATTTAGTTTGATAAAGTTGATCTATTTTATTTGTTTTCATTTATTAAAAATATATAAAAATATTATCAAATAGTTTTTTAATATTTCATAAGATTAAATATAAAAATGAACCATATACTATTTATTTTTGTCGGTTTGATACTTAAAAAATTAAAATTTTTAGTTTGATATTTTAATTTTTATTTTATCATCTACTTTGGTATATAAGATTAACACGTTAGTCAACTTGTTAATATAACATGAATATTCAATGGATGATGATATGTATAAAAAAAATAAAAGTAAACACTATATCATGAGTTGCCACGTTAACATTAAAAGAAATTTTTTAAAAATTCTTAAAAAATTTTTTAAAATTTGAAATATTTTAAAAATTAAAAAAACTATTTAAAAAATTTAAAAATTTGTGAAAACTTAAAAAATCTCAAAATTTAATAAAAAAATCCAAAACTTTTTTTGACAAATAAAAAAGAAATGAAAATTTTTAACAAAATAAAATTTTCTTAAAATTAAAAAATTCATAAAAACTTTAAAAAATTGAATATAATAAAATCTAAAATTTTTTAAAAATTTTGCAAATTTTTTTAAAAAATTATGAAACTTTTTCATTTTTTTAATGTTCCAATTGTAATATTTTATATATTTTATGAATATTTTTGGATTTTTATTAAAATTTTAATTTTTTATTTTATTTTTAAAAATTTTTAAAATTTTTTAAAAATTTTTTAGCATATTTCAGTTTTTTCAAAATTTTTAATTTTTTTAGAATTAAAAAAAATTTATAAATTTTTAGATTTTTTAAAATAATTTAGATTTTTTTAATTTTTGAATTTTTTAAAAAAATTTAGATTTTCTTATTTTCAATTTTCTAAGATTTTGTAATTTTTTTTAATTTTAAGAAAATTTTATTTTTATTAAAATTTTCATTTTTTGGATTTTTAATAAAATTTTGAGAGTTTTTAAGTTTTAATAATTTTTAAAAAATTTTATAATTTCTAAAAGTATTTTATATTTTATAATTTTTTAAAATATGAAATATTTGTAAAAATTTTTAAAATTTTTCTATTAAAGCTAAGAAAAAATTGATGATACAGCATTGATTGATTTTTTGACTCATGTAAGCATTTTATTAATTATTAATGTCACATTACAAGTTGATTAATGATATTAGTTTGAAATTTTAAATTAAATGACGAAATTAAAATTTAAGTACTAAATTAATAATTTTATTTTTTTAGGTGTTAAACTAACAAAAAATATACAATATAAAAGCTATTTTTATATTTTAAAATACTTTTGCATTAAGTTTGCATAGTGCCGTTTTAATTTTTCTTTATAGCACTTTAAAAATATATATACTTGAAGACCAAACAATCCTTTAATTTTTTAATTAATTGTTATCAGTTGTATAGATTATTAATTTCAGTTAATACGATTCATTGCTAACAACTCCAAATAAAAAATATTTAGTTAATTTTTTGTTTTATATAATCAAAAATTGAATTTTTATTCTGTCCAAAAAGATATATTTATTTTTTTCTTCCTTTCGATATTTATTATATGAAAATTAAAAAACAACGCATATTATTATGAATTTAATCCATTAGATTATAACTCTTTTTACCAAACGAAAGTTTAGCGTGATTTTTTTTTCGCATACTAATTTGTCTATGCTCATATACTTATATGTTCATTTAATAATTCGTATATTTATATTTATAAAATAATAAATATTTATATAATTATATTTTTTATATAAAAAGTACATATTATAATTTATATGAATGTAAAAAAATATAAAATATATTATTTTTATTTTATTTTTTAATTTATATATGATTTTAACTTTTATAAATTTTTTGTATCAAATTTATATCTTTTTTAATTACCTAATCTACTAGTAACGTCTTTCATGACCTTCATCACTCATAAAATTGGAAAGATCGAATCAAATTAAATGCATGGTGGCCAAGTTAACCATTAACCTTTTCCCACTTATAAGTGTTCCCAAATCCCAATTTTGGGAAAAAAAACAAAAAGGATTTTTGTGAATAAAATTAATTTTAATTAATATAGTTAGCATAAGAAGAAAGGCCTCTAATTTCAGGTAAAGTTCACCTCATTTCCTAAATATATAGTTAGCTTCTTCTTCCATTTTTTTTCCCAAACAGAGGTATGTACAGTAAGTAAGTTAAAAACCTAGATGCCGTAGAAAAAAAAAAGTCACTGACCTTTGTTTAGTATATATTCAGAATCAAATTACACCAATATAAAATTAATTAATTTTATATTTTTATAAAACTTTGATATATGCTTAATATTTTAATAAATTAATCTTTAAATTTAACAACGCAATTGTACCTGTCATACAAATAAAGTTTTAAATTGATTAAGAAATAATATTTTATATATATATATGTGTGTAACAGTTAAAATTTTTTATATCGAATAAGTAATTAAATATTTATAATTAACTCAAAATTTGACGTGCATGATTTAAATTAATAAAGTATAAAATAAAATAGTCAAATTAAATAAATATAAATTACATAAAAAATTATAAAAAAATGTAAAATTAAGTGGATCCCTCTCTCTATATACATTACTAACACAGACACAAGTGGAAATGCAATTAGCGAAGATGTAACACCAAATTCCACGATTGAAAAGACTAATCTCCTTTTTTGAATCCCTAATTTCATCCATAATATATGTCACCATTGCCCGTGAATCCCTGTGCCTTCGGCTTTAGATGTAATTGGTAGCTCATCACTCTCAAACATCACGTTCTAACCTATTAAAAGCAATCTCAATATCCTCCTTGAAGCTACAACCCAAATAGCCACGCTACCCAAAATTTTCATCGTCCCCATCCTTCATTCATAGATTGGCATACACCTTCGCATTGAATATTAAAAAATTCAATTCAATCACATCCTCTGTTCCTCTACACCAACACAAGTAACATATTACATTGAATATAAATATATTCATATTTTCAAATTAAATGTGTTTATGGTTGGACCAATTAAACTAAACTCAATTGACATCTTTAAAAGCTTGTTTAAGGTTCAGTCCAACCCAATCATAAAAGCTAGTTTAGTTACTTTATTATTATTATTATTATTATTATTATTGAATTGAAAAAAAATAGTGAATCCATCTCTTCCCTTTCATAATCAAGTCATGCATATTTCTAGGATTCTCACAACCACAAACTTTATGGTTGTCCTTTTAGAGAGATATATTAGGGAAGATACAATGAAGAATAGATCTAAATTTTCAAGCTCGAATTTGATTTAAGATATTTATTAAATAACAATAAAAATTATTTTTATTTAATTTTAATTTTAAAATATATTAAATAGATATTAAAATATTAATATTGTATTAATATTTCTTATTTAAAAAAGTCATGTTTTTAAAGCTTTATGGGCTGGGCTTGAACACAAATTAAAAAAAATCAATCGAGCCTGACCCACTTGACTCAGGTATATTGTGGCTCTCAGTCAGTGTCATTGTAGGTTAGGAATATGATAGCTGGACATTCTTGCTATATGGTTTTGAGATTAGATGACCCAAATTTTATTGTTGGGCTTCCAAATTTCATTTCCTTATATTCGCAATGCCTAACCTTATCTTATCTAAAATGTTTTATACTAAAATAAGTTGATCCCTTCATTTTAAAAAAATATATAAATAAAAAATTAGTAATTTAGGATTTTTGTAAGAATTTTTATTAGTACACGAGAAATTGTGAATAGGCATGCAGGAGTAAGTTTTCTTTTTATTTTTTCCCCTAAATTTTAGATCAAATGATTACAGATGCCTACATGGCCTTCCATCATTTGCATGTTTTTATCTCAAATATTAGACTACTCCTAAATTCATAAAAAAGATTACTTAAAAATAAAAAAAAATTCATAGACTAAAATTAAATTATAATTTAAGTTCTTATTTTTTATTTTTTATTGTAATTAATTAAATTTTATTTATTTTCATCCAATTGAGCCACCAAATATCTATTCTAACTTAATGAAGCCTTTAATTGGAGAAATTAATCATGTAGATCATGTGATTGTGATAATCGTTAATTCATTTTTGTTTAATTAAAAATTCAATTGAATGAAAATAAAAATTTAATGGTTTTATTGGTTATAATAAAATGATAGGAGCTTAGATGATAAGTTAATTTTAATTTAAAAGATTTTTTTTTATATTTAAGCTTAAAAAGTTTAAAATTTTCTTAGCTTGTAAAAGAGGTATATGACAAGGTTCTTATCTACTACTATTTTTTTTTTTAATTTTAAATTTCAGATTAAATAAGGAGAGGAAACTCTTTCT